ATTCTCTCTTCTGCTCTTCTACCTCCTTGCTGCAGGGTGTCCTAACCATGAGCCTGGGATGTGGTTTGTACACAGTGGGGTGGTTTGTTCTCTCCCTTTTTTTAGCAAGTGCGTTCTCCTTTAAGGGAGCCTGTGACCATCCTGTCCAACCTACCTCAGACCCAGAACCTGAGCTTTCAACTCATCTTCCACTCTGCCTCACGCACAGTATTTAAGATGTGTCTGGTGCAGGTCACGCGTTGGAAGTACTGGTTGAAAGATGCTGACTTTGAGAATGGCCCACATGAGAGATGCTTGCATAATACTCTACTCTTCGCAAACACATTCATTCTCATTCTCTCTCCTACAGCTTCCCCAAAACACCCACTGACATCATCTCAAGATTATCTACTGACATCAACAACTATCCAATAGGCACCAGGGACTAATCAAGAGAGAGATTTTCTAAGAATAGCTTTTATTTTCTCCACGCCACTGGCTAATATTGTCCCCATCTACACGATCTAATCAGAATTCTTGCTGATTTGAAAGCAAATATAATAACAATAAGAGCACCACTTATTAGCATGCAGCTTAGAAAGTGGCTCATCCCAAATAGTCTATTTTTTCTTTCCACATGAGAAGTTTGGAGATTGCTTAGATGAGCCAGATATTACTTGGAGGCAGGAAAGGGGAGGAATATCTGAAATCAAAGAAACTCCACAGAGAGTTATCAATGATCTTCCTTTTGCTGCTGGGAGTTTGGAATGAGATTAGGAAATAATGTGGTAAGAATCAAGGAACTGTAGAGTCAGGACACGGGCTGAGGGACCAGGGAGGGGCCCAGGAGGGAAAATAGCCCTGAAGCCTGCTCTCACTTGCAGTGACCTTATGATGTGACTGGGACATTAACACGTATCATTTTTAATCCTCATAAAACCTTGGGCTATAACATTCTTTTATTTTATGATAATAGAAGCAGGGCTTGGAGAGGTGGGGTAACTTGTCAAAGTTACAAAGGTTGTCAAGGGCTGAGGCAGAATTCAAATAGCTGTATTCTCCAGCTCATTGTCCATATTGTGTATCCGTGTGTGTATGTGTGTTGGGGGAGAGGTATTGAATTACAGAGAACATAAGACTCAATCTCTTTTTCTTAATGTATTATTTCTCCCTTTATTCTGTCTAGATCCCCACTCAGTCTCATGGCATTCAATACAATCTGTAGGCTGACAACTCGAAAATATATATCTCTGATCTAGACCTCCCTTGTGAGATTCAGACTTGTAATTTTCATTTGCCTACTTGACATTTCCACTTGGATATCTAACAGCAATCCTAGACTTAACACTCCTAAAACTAAAATCCTGATCTCGTCCCAACATCCATTTATTCATCTTGCAGCCTTCCCCATTGCAGAGGTTGGTGCTACCATCTTCCTAGCCCAGAGCTAGGAGAGCAGGGAGTTATTCTGATCACCTTCTCCTCCCTTGGCCTCACACATTCCCAACCCATGGCTCCATCCTGCCTATCTCTCTCAACCCACTGCATTCCATTTCTACCATCACCACTGCAGTGATTGCCTTCCTCTTTGACTTCCTCAAATGACCTTTAAGGTACGATGTGATTTAATTGTACCCCTCTTCTTCACTGCACGCCAGGCACTCTGGCCATTCTTCAGCTCTCTGAATATATCAATCTTCTCTATGTCGTGATAGTCATACAACCTGTATTTAATCTTCTAAGATTCATCTTCTGCTTTCTCCACTGACTCCTATTCATTCTCCAGATGTCAAAGTAAATGTCACCTTCTCAAAGAGACCCTCTCAAGCCAACTGAGCTATATAGAATGGAAAGAATTTTCTGTATGTTATCTGTTTTAATCATTGATTCCTTTTTGCTCATTGAGTAGTCATTAATTACTCTTCCTTACGACTTAGTGAAGTAAGCATATTTTCCTCTGTTTATACGAAAACTAAAAAATAGACTAGTAGAGTAACTTTTCTAGCGTCACAGAGCTAAGAAGTTACAGGACCAGAACTTGAACCCAAGTCATCCTAACTTCAGAACCAACGCCCCTATTCATGGCGCCATGTTGCATTCCCACCATGCTGCCTGCGTGATGCTGGGTGCACAATAGATGCTCGATCTAATATAGTTCTTACTCTTTTCCTCCTACCCTTCATTGAGTAAGTTGCAGCTTAAGTGAATGTGCACATTACCAGCGTTCTCTGCTCTGTTCATCTCTCCTGTGCTAGTGAAAACAAATAGAATGTTTCAAATAATCTCAGCTTTTTGATAATGGGAACTTCCAGGGAGTGCCACTCTTCTATTTACTAAACAATTTTGACCTCTTTATCTGAAGCTCTTTCTCTGAGATTGTTGCTATCTTTACAAATGTGCTCCCTGACAAGCCTTAGAAAGAGCCATCTAGTTCCCATTCCTTTACTGCACAGAAATGATGAATATGGAGCTGAATTTCCCCTGAATGAACGTCTTTGTGCTCAGAGTGCTTCAAATCTAGTTGGGGAGACTTACAAACAAATAGACAACTACTACACGATATGGTAAGTGCTCTAATAACAGGTTAACTGCCTAGAGACAGAGGGTCAAGCAGTTTGGGTCAGAGCATCCCACCAGCAAACTGCTTGACCCTGAGGCACAGTCAACCAAAAATGTCTGACTAACAACAACAAAACTGTTCTCTGTTCATCTGGTGCCCAAATCCTGGATGCCAGTAGAGCCAGTTAAAGATGAATTATGTCTTTTTGCATCATCCCGGGTTTAATGATCTCAGGACGCAAAGACCTGAAGGACAATTCCTGGTGAAAGAACAAGAGGGAGGAATCTTATTTTTAAATGCCCAGGGCTTTCATTTTAGTTAATCATGAGCCTGCTCCCTCTCTTCTTTCCTCCTTCCTTTTGTTTATCCCTCCTTCCTTCCCCTCTTCCTCTTTCCCTCCCTTCCTTCCTTCCCTTCATTGATATTTATTACGCATCTTCTATTAGTCAAACACCACCCAAAGTTTGGGAAGTGATAGTGAGTGACAGCAGCCACTGTCCCTGCCCACATGAAGCTCACAGTCTAACAGAGAAGAGCCAAACAATTGCACTAATCAGCATATGATTGCAAAAGATGGTAAGGCTTCTGAAGGAAAGAACACAGTTATGGGACAGAATAGTAACAGTCTGATGCAGACTAGGAGATTAAGAGAGTCATCTATGATGAAACAAAGGCTAAGCAGGAGTTAACCAGGTGAAGACGCTCCGGGCAGATCATGTTGGATGGAGCAAAAAGCCTGTGCAAAGGCCCTGGGGCAGATGGAACATGATAAGCTCAAGGAAGGAAAAGAAGAAAGTGTAATGGGAAAACACAACAGTGTTCAATGTATACCCTGGTTCATAGTGCAGGTACACAGCTGTGCAAAAGATTTCTGCTCTGGTGAACATGCTGGAAAACACTCAGGGTGATGCTGATTATATAACAATGGCAATGATTGCCTCTTTGAATGCAAAATGGTGAATAAATAGCCCTGTCAACTTCTATCACCTGAAAATAATATGGAATTTCTATCCCTGCCCTTCGAACACAGCTAAGACATCCTATAGGGAAAGGAAAATTAATATATTGGAAGAAGTCAGCTGAATTGGGGTTTTTTGAACTGTGTCCACTTTCAGATGAGATATGGCAATGTAAACAAGATGTGCTACACAGCCAGGGCAAAAATTTCATTTGGCCCCAAACTTACTGAGTGCTGTCAAAATAAGCTCTCACCAGACAGAGCCTGGGGCACTAACTGTCATTGAGCATCTATTAGGGGCCAAGCACAGAATTCAGCCCTTGGTCCATTGCTTAGTGTAATTCTCACTATAAGCGACGATGAAGGTACTGTTTGTTATGACTCACTGTGCAGACAAGCCAATGAAGCCTGTCCGGCCACCCCCACTCCCGTTCACTCTCCGCTTCAGGACTGCAATTTACTTTCTTAAGTTATCACGTGGATTCTGTGTGCACTTGCTCTGTCTCTCTTCCACTTCAATGCATGCTGCTCAAGGGCAAAGCCATGTCGCTCATCTCCACCCCTGCATAACCAGCGTGCTGTGCGGTGCAGTGCCAAGCAAGTAGAGGACAAGCAATAGGATTTCTCAACAAATTAAGTAACTTACCCAAGGTAAATTAGTCCACTGTGGCCTCATACCCATGCACTAAAGACAAACAAAACAGAATCCTGGCATGGCAAGGGTATGGGATGCATTCTATTACTCACTTAATCTCCTCTCTTGATATAGCTCCTGGCATAGAATAGGTGTCCAGTACACGTTTATAGAAGCAGTGAAAGATGCATACACTTTAGAGTGGGGCTTGGTATTTCCCTTAGGGCTGTGTTCGTCAACATAGGCATCAAAGCATCTGGGGTGCCTGTTAAAATGAAGATTTCCGGGCCCCTTCTATATATACTGAATGGAATCTCCTATTAAAAACTTCTTAAAGGAAGAGTTAAAAAGCTTATTGAGGCCGGGCGCGGTGGCTCACGCCTGTAATCCCAGCACTTTGGGAGGCCGAGACAGGCGGATCACGAGGTCAGGAGATCGAGACCATCCTGGCTAACACGGTAAAACCCCGTCTCTACTAAAAATACAAAAAAATTAGCCGGGCGCGGTGGCTGGCGCCTGTAGTCCCAGCTACTCGGGAGGCTGAGGTAGGAAAATGGCGTGAACCCGGGAGGCGGAGCTTGCAGCGAGCGGAGATGGCGCCACTGCACTCCAGCCTGGGCGACAGAGCGAGAGTCTGTCTCAAAAGAAAAAAAAAAAGCGTATTGAAGGCTCTCACAAATGATTCTGAGGAACATGAAATATAGACGTTGATATAGTTTGGCTTTTGTCCCCACCCAAATGTTACCTCCCCACGTCTCAGGGGACGGCCCGGTAGGAGGTGATTGGATCACGTGGGCGGACTTTCCCCTGACCGTTCTGGTGATAGCGAGTGAGTTCTCACGAGATCTGGTTGTTTGAAAGCGCATAGCGCTTTCTCCTTCGGGCTGTCTCTCCCGTTCCACCATGGTAAGACGTGACTGCTTCTCCTTCGCCTTCTGTCATGATTGTAAGTTTTCTGAGGCCTCCGAGTCATAATTCCTTTTAAGCTTGTGGAACTGTGAGTCAAGTAAATCTCTTATCTTCATGAATGACCTAGTCTCAGGTAGTTCCTTATAGCAGTGTGAGAACGAACGAATACAGACGTTTTCCCTCATCCTGTGCTTTTCCTCTTTCACTCGCCAGGACTAGGTTCTGTATTTAAATCAATTTACAGCAGACGGACTGCACTGGTGGGGATGGGGACAGGGTTTAATGAGGAACATCCTCTGGCTTTGCCCTTTTTCATTGGAAACCTTAAAAAGCACAAGAAACTACATCCAGCAAGGCAACAGAAGTATCTTTAACTGTGGGCACTGCCTCATCCATAGAGCCCTGGTCAGTCTCTGGAAGACGTTGCCGTTTTCGTATTTCAAGTTGAATCTTTGAGAGGCTCCATGGTGGAGTAGAAAGTCATACCCAAGTCCAATCTCCACCTTCATCTTTTACCAGTTATGTGGTCGTGGCAGTCAGTTAACCTCCCAAAGCCTCAGTTGTTTCATCTGTAAAATGGAGATCACACCCAGCTCCAGGACAGTGGGGAGCGTGAAGTGAAATGATATCCAAGAGCACCCACAATAGCGACTGGACAGGCGGGTACTTCATAATTAGTGCTATATCTTTTAAAAAAATACTAATCATTATTTGAGTACTTACCATGTGTAAGACAGGCACTTTACTAAAGGTAGGTAATACACAGATAAAATATATACTGAATATGATATAACATGTGTAATAAATACAATAAATATATAGTCATTATAAAACATATGAATACAAATATATAAATATATTTTATATAACAATAATATATGTGTGTATATATGTGTGTGTGTGTGTGTGTGTGTGTATATATATATATGAGAGAGAGACAGAGCAAGAGAGAGACTGATACCTTCATGCAACAGGTTTCACCATCTGTCTTTTGCGTATACTGAGGCCCCGAGAGGTTCTGCAATGTGCCCAAGGCCACAAGGCAAGTAAAAAACAGAGCAGGGTTACAGGTTTTCTCTCTGCATTCTGACCAAGGGGTACACTGTTTTGTCCTTTGCTACCTCTTAAGGTAAAGTTCAGAGGAGAAAATGATAACTAATGCTCTGGGGTGTTGGTCCTGATCTGGTTCAGCTTTAAAGTATTTGACCTGTTTACCAAAGAGAGTAACTCCTTATCTCCCAATTTATTGTCTGTGCCTTGATCCCTGTGGCCTTAGCTGAATGCTTCCTGGGTACAAATTGTTTAGGACACTGGTTCTCAAATCTTGCTGCACAATAGAATCTTCTGAGGAACTTAAAAGAATACCTATGCTTGGCCCAATCACATCTGGGTCCTTGGAAGCGGGACCCAGGTGCCACAGGTTTTTAAGGCTGCCTGGGTGATTTCAATGTGCATTGAGGATTAACACCGACTTAGAGTTTTCTGCCTTGACCTTCTGACAAATCCCATCTCAGGTGTGACCGCATCACCTGCAGAAAGTTCCTTAGCCTTTTTTTAAAAAAATACCAAATTGGAATTGAGTGCAAGGGGTGGCTGAGGAAGTCTTTGGGGTTATTGAAAACATCGTTGCTCATCCCACGGATAGGAAGGAAGCATCAGTTTCCAAGAGTCTGAACCGAGAGAGATTCAGACATTTCCCAAGAGCACAACTAGTAAACGACAGTGTCTGCCAGAAATTCACATCCTAGGAATTTCCATGACGGGTTCATTCTCTACATTCAGGTTTTAGCTTCAAAGTCACCTCCAAAGAGGGAACTTCCCTGACCCTCCCCCCACCCCAACAAAAGCAGCCCCCAGCCCCTCTGTTACCCCTACAGCACTCACTGCCATCTATTACGTCCTTGCTTCTTTTTGCATTTCTTTGTCAACTCGACCAGAAACATTATAAAAGCAGGGACCCGGTCGGACACGGTGGCTCACGCCTGTAATCCCAACAACTTTGGGAGGCCAAGGCGGGCAGACCACCTGAGGTTGGGAGTTCCAGACCAGCCTGACCAACATGGAGAAACCCCGTTTCTACTAAAAATACAAAATTAACTGGGTGTGGTGGTGCATGCCTGTAATCCCAGCTACTCGGGAGGCTGAGGCAAGAGAATCGCTTGAACCCGGGAGGTGGAGGTTGCAGTGAGCCGGGACGGCGCCATTGCACTCCAGCCTGGACAACAAGAGCAAATCCCCGTCTCAAAAAAAAAAAAAGCAAGGACCCCACCTTAGTGACTGCTATACTCCCAGCATCATCCAAAACCGTGCCTGGTACACAGTAGGTGTATACGAAGTGTCTGCTAAATTAATGATAAAATGAGCATAAATATAAATGCAGACATTCTGATTCAAGTTCTTAGCCACTGCACAATACCTTATCTTTCCAATGGTTATTATTAGGGTCTTGTCGCTTTGGGCTTTGATGCTTAGTTAATTGCCTTCCAAGATAAAATGGAGCCAAACACCTGCAGGGGAAGTTGAGGAGGGGGAATCTGCCTTCCCCGGTGTGGGGTCCGCTGTGCACATGACTGATTTCCCTCTTCTAGATCTAACACATAATTCACAGGGATGGAGACACATTGTTTATAGATTACCCCCACCCCCCCTTTTTTTTTTTTTTTTTTTTGCTTCAGAATGAGGAAAAAAACCCAAACTTGATCATAAACTCCCAGACAGAAAACCATGGCGACCATCTCCTGGGTCTAATAAAAGTTGGATGATTCAGTGTCTCAAATAACTGTATCCAAATTGAGCCTGATCACATTCCTTTTTAAAAGGCCGTGTTTCAGTTACGTCATTTTATAGAAATAATTGTTCTGAGGACACTCACAGCGTCATTTCACACAGGTGAAATATTCCTGGAGGTGGTCGGGAATTCCAGTCCTGTTTTCTCAGGCACGCTTGATGCCTAGCATGTGAATTGTGAAGCAACATATTTCAGTACCTGAAAGGTTACCACTGAGGTTAGGGAGCATTGTGAACAACCACAAGTGATACCCAGCCAAGTGTTTTTCAGCCTCCATAGGTTTCCCCTCCACAACCTGGGATGCCTGAATCTCCAGCAATGATTAAAAAAAAAAAAAAAAAAAAAAAAAGACTATTGTGTTTAGAGTCAGACATTGCAGACTCTGAATCTTGGCTTTACCTCTTTCCAGCTGGGTGACCTTGGAGAAGTTGCTAAGCCTCTCTGATCACTGAGTATTAGTTTAGTAGAAAAAAGTGCCCTTTCAGTCCTGCCGGAAGAAGAGGCTAGAATCATATGGCTTAGATGTCACTTCCGGGGCCCATATGTTATCAGAAAAAGCTCAAATTCTGCAAATCTAAGAATAACCAGTGAGTCTCATTGTGTGGGTTTACTAACAAAAGTTTTACACTCCTTCATTTCCCTTTGTGGGGTTCTTATAGAAAGATGTAATATATCTTCTACTGGAGGTTAGTTGGAAATATCGTTATTTGAAGAAAAACAGAAAAATTACCTGTAATCCGACCAGCCACTGCTAATACATTGGGGGCATTTCCTACCTGATATTTTTCTACACAGACATACTAAGGTAAAAATATTATTTTAAAATCTGGACTTAATTTTCTTTTAGCGTCTTAAATAATACATTGGAGAGGCACTTGTTGTAGCAGGTGAGGCTGGGGAAATTGGTGTGATTCAGAGAGAGATGGAGGTGGGGGGAGAGAGGAGGAAAGTCACTCCTTGAGTAGAATGAGAGAAATGAGTACAGAGCCCCTGGGAGGGAGGGATAAAGAGATGAAAAGGAGGGAAGTGAGGAGTTGCCAAGTTCATGTGAGGCTATGGCCAGTGGAAATTTTCTTGGGAGATTATTAATACATTGGGAAAAAAAGGATGCGTGTTACTTAAAGTCCTTTTTAAGTCGTTTTAAGTTGTCTTTGTATTCATTCAATTTTATTACATTCATAAGTGCTTTCTATCTTTCTCTCTCTCTCTGTATGCGTGTGTGTGTGTGTGTGTGTATGTGTGTGTGTGACTTTGTATGTGAGAAGGGCCTGAATTTCCCACTGCTGCAGTGTAAGCTGAAATAGGGGCAGCCTGAGAAAATCATGATCCTGAAGTCAGTGGTGACTTTGAAATCATAGCCACTTCCTTTCCACCTGTCCCCCAGCTAATTACCCGAAAACTTGGGAAGGGCTCTAGACTTCCATGGAACATGAAACTGCTCACCCAAGCTCATCTTAACCTTGACTTCAAGGATGTGTAGGTGTGTGTGTGTGTGGGGTGTGTGCATGTGTGTGTGTGTGTGTGTGTGTGTGTGTGTGAAGTAGGATGCTGTCAGTTGCTCAGACATACAGCGAGAGCAGGTAGCAATTTCCTTATGCCATGCCCCCATTCTTACCACTAGATTCTGCATTCACTGATATGCCTGGAAATTTTATTTAGTAGCTGGGGAAGAAAGGAGTTCTGATTTGCATTTCTCTGATGACCAGTGATGATGAGCATTTTTTCACGTGTCTGTTGGTTGCATAAATGTCTTCTTTTGAGAAGTGTCTGTTCATATCCTTTGCCCACTTTTTGATGGGGTTGTTTGATTTTTTCTTGTAAATTTGTTTAAGTTCTTTGTAGATTCTGGATATTAGCCCTTTGTCAGATGGATAGATTGTAAAAATTTTCTCCCATTCTGTAGGATGCCTGTTCACTCTGATGGTAGTTTCTTTTGCTGTGCAGAAGCTCTTTAGCTTAATTATATCCCATTTGTCAGTTTTGGCTTTTGTTGCCATTGCTTTTGGTGTTTTAGTCATGAGGTCCTTGCCCATGCCTATGTCCTGAATGGTATTGCCTAGGTTTTCTTGTAGGGTTTTTATGGTTTTAACAAATCAAAACCACAATGAGATACCGTCTCACACCAGTTAGAATGGTATCATTAAAAAGTCTGGAAACAACAGGTTCTGGAGAGGATGTGGAGAAACAGAAACACTTTTACACTGTTGGTGGAACTGTAAACTAGTTCAACCATTGTGTGAAGAGAGTGT